AGATTTTCGATAAGAAAGCAGAAAGGATATTCTGTGGTACAAATAAGTGAGGCATGTTGGACCAGAACACAATGTACATGAAGGTGAGTGGAGGAACCGCCCAGCTGGAGGAGTCAGGTGTGTGGTGAAAGGCAATAGACACATGCAAATTTTTAAAAATATATTTTTATTGAAGTATAGTCAGTTTATAATGTTGTGTCAGTTTCCAGAACATAGCACAATACCTCAGTTATATAGGAACATACATATATTCGTTTCCACATTCTCTTTAACCATAAGGTACTACAAGATATTGAATATAGTTCTCTGTGCTATACAGTATAAACTTGTTGTTTATCTATTTTATATATAGTAGTTAGTATCTGCAAATCTCAAACTCCCAATTTATCCCTTCCCACCCCCTTCACCCCCTGGTAACCGTAAGTTTGTTTTCTATGTCTATTTTGTAAATAAGTTTGTGTTTTTTTAGATTCCACATATAAGTGATATCACGTGGTATGTTTCTCTCTCTCTCTCTCTTATTTTATTTAGAATGACGATCTCCAGGTCCGTCCATATTGCTGCAAATGGCATTATTTTATTCTTTTTATGGCTTAGTAGTATTCCATTGTATAAATATACCACAACTTCTTTATCTAGTCATCTGTCGATGGACATCTAGGTTGTTTCCATGCCTTGGCTATTGTAAATAGTACTGCTATGAACACTGGGGTGCATGTGTCTTTTTGAATTAAGGTTCCCTCTGGATATATGCCCAGGAGTGGGATTACTGGAGCATATGGTAAGTCTATTTTTAGTCTTTTGAGGAATCTCCATACTGTTTTCCATAATGGCGGCACCAAACTACATTCCCACCAACAGTGTAGGAGGGTTCTCTTTTCTCCACACCCTCTCCAGCATTTATTATTTGTGGACTTTGAATGATGGCCATTCTGACTGGTATGAGGTGATACCTCATTGTAGTTTTGATTTGCATTTCTCTGATAATTAGCAATATTGAGCATTTTTTTTCATGTGCCTACTGGCCATTTGTATGTCTTCCTTGGAGAATTGCTTGTTTAGGTCTTCTGCCTATTTTTGGATTGAGTTGTTTTTTCCTTATTAAGTTGTATAAGCTGTACATGTTCATTATAGAATATTTTAAAAATTCTGAAAAGTACAAGGAATAAAGTTTTTAAATTACCCATAGTCTTCCAAACTGAGTATAATCACATCCTACTTTAAAATTGTTATTATTAGCTTAATACTACTTAATAATATTCCCATATCATCAATTATTCTTTTAAAACCTGATTTTTAATGGCTTCCTGGTGTCTGATTTTATAAATGCAGTGTAATTTTTATAACTAGTCCTCTACTGAGCATTTAACTTCTCTCTAGTTTTTCATTATTATAAACACCACTTTTATGAACAACATGAAGTATTAATTTTGTACTCATTTGTTTTCAGAGGATACAGTCCTGGCAGTAGAATTTCTGGGTAAAAGTATGTGCATAGTAACTCTTGTTACATACTGGCAGAATTTCTTTCAGAAAATGTATATCATAAGTAATGTATGGGAATGCCTATTCAGAGGACACATCAATTTTTAAAAGAAGTTTTCTATTGTGTAAGTTTAAAAAAAGGTCCTTTTATTAGTTAGGATTTGGCTCAGTAGTACATAATCAACACTCTGGTGCTCAAATAAGTGATTTGAGCAAAAGAGAGTTTATTTCATTTTCATACAAAATAAATCAAATGGTAGGAAGTTTACGGCTGGTAGGAACACCTCAGTCATCAAGAACCTTTCCATTTTGTTGCTCTGATGACCTTAGCATGCAGCCTCATGGTCCAGCATATCTGCTAGAGCTCCAGCCATTTCATCTGGAGTCCACTCAACAGGAAAAGGGGACAAGAAAACAAGGGCACAGTATTTTTCCTTCAAGGTGACCTCTGTGAATCCGGATATAGTTCAGCTTACACTTCAGGGGCCAACTTAGTCTGAATGCAGTCAGAGTCTAGTTGCATGGTCCTACCTGGATGCTGGGAATGTAGAGTTTTAAGCTGGAAAACAATATGCCAGCTAAAAGACAGAGTTCTGATTACTAAGAAAAATAGAATAATGTATCTTGGGAGACAGTTATCTGGTTCCATCAAAGTTTGATTTTTTTTTTACTTCTTTGACTACATTTCAGGTTTAACTTTTTTTCACGTGTGTTTCATAGCATATGTTATACATACTATTTGTAATTGTTATTTCTGAATTGCCTCGTATATTCTATTCTTTCCTTTTCACAGTATTGGTCTTTTTCTCAATAATTTATAAGGTGATTATTTTACATAGTAAGGGTATGAATCAATCATTGATTCATTTATGTATTGATGAATGATTGATTCATACCCTTAATATATGTTTCACTTTCCCCCCCTAATTTGTTGCTTGCCTTTAATGGTGTTTTCTGATAGACTAAGATTTTGATGTTTTTATCCAGTTAGGTGTATCATTCTTTCCTTTGGAGTTTCTGGCTTTGATGTATATTTAGAAATCTCCTCCACTCTGAGGCCAGAGAAAAATTTCACCTGTATTTTCATTTTGTTCTTTCATGGCTTGAATTTTTCATATTTGATGCATTAGGCCAGTGGCATTCAGACAGAAAGAGTTTATATTGTGAGCCAGTACTTAAAGCTTCCACCAAGTGATACTCACTCTTAGTCTGTATATTTCCTGCTCTCTGCCATTATCCTTTATATTTCAGAAAGTTATGTTCATCATCCACTCACAGGTTGTGCCCAGTAGTTGAAAAAATACTGCTTCATTCAATCATTTCCTTAATCTGGGGTATACTGTGAGAGATGGAACTGTAAGGGTTTGTTGTTTTTCTTTTCTAAACAGCCAGTTTTCTTCATGATTTTCACTCTGCTATTCATCTTTTCGTCTAACTACACGCTATCCTCTTTTTCACATTTTTCATGGCCGTGCTTGCTTGTTCTCCCAGATGATCCTAAAAACCATTTTGAAAACTTGCAGAAGATGAGCTTTAGATGGGATTTACAAAGTAATTTGAGACGAAGTGATAACTTTACAGTTAAGTTGTTCCATCTGGAAACGTGGCACACCTCTCTTCTCAGCTTCCTCGGGAAACGTCTGCCGTTTCCCCTCTTCCGGGCTCCTAGATTTCTCATTACACCTCTGACGAGGTAGTTGATGTTTGTGATTGCTTTTTGTGAGTTTTTTATTTTTGTTAAAATGATTATTTCTTTCAAAGAAGAAATCTTGATTCTGATAGTTTTACTTTATCATTTTGGATCTTCTATAGAAAATGATCTCTGCAGAGAACGGGCATTTTATCTTCCTCTCCAGTGCAAAACTTGTATATATATATTTTTATCGAAGTATAGTCAATTTACAGTGTTGTGTCAATTTCTGGTGTACAGCACAATGTTTCAGTCATACAGGAACATACATAGATTCGTTTTCATATTCTTTTTCACCATAAGTTACTACAAGATATTGAATAGAGTTCCCTGTGCTATACAGTATGAACTTCTTGTTTATCTGTCTGTCTGTCTGTCTATCTATATTAGTTACTGTCTGCAAATCTCGAACTCCCAATTTATCCTTTCCCACCCCCTTACAATAAGTTTGTTTTCTATGTCTGTTGTAAATAAGTTCATCTTTTTTTTTTTTTTTTTAGATTCCACATATGAGTGATATCATAGGGTATTTTTCTTTCTGTTTCTGGCTTACTTCACTTAGAATGACATTGTCCAGGTCCATCCATGTTGCTGCAAATGGCATTTTATTATTTTTATGACTGAGTAATTTTCCATTGTATAAATAATTTTAACAAACAGCTGCTATTTTGTGATGACTCGCTATTGTTAAACACTGTGTATCGTGTGTAAGTTTCCGTATCATCATCATCCCGAAAGCCCAGTAATGGGAGGTACTGTGATCTCCATTTAAAGATGAGAAAATAGACCTTTTTGATTCCAGCGGCTCAAGGTCATGTATCTAGTAAACAGCAGAGGTGGGATATGAACCCAGATCAGTCTGACTGGTAGACCTGGGCTTCTCGGTACGTAACCTCTACTGCCTCTCTGTTATACGTCTCTTTTGTGTCTCGTGGCTTTGGATGAAACTTCCAGAATGGAGTAAATAAAATAGTTCTTCACTAAGTTGCCATGGTGCCGTGATTTTCAGTTTTGCTGGGCACCCGGGTGAATCAAGGCTGTGCAGGCCTTGGCACCGTTGGTCTCTCCGTGCCTGGTCTCCCCGGCGCTGCCTGCAGAGGCCCTTTCCTCACTGCCTCGGCTTCGTCAGTCCTCGGTCATCCTTCATGCTTAGAGCACTGTGTACCTCTCTTTGAGCATGTGAGAGCCAGCAAAATTCTGCCATTTCCCAAAGTTCTTAATTCAACGTTCACTTTTTACATAAACTTCTCATTTTAGGTAAGTTTTAGATTTACAGAAATATTGCAAAGAGGGTACAGAGTTCCCATATACCCCACAGCCGTTTTCCCCTTACATCTTACACTGGGATGGCGCGTTTGTCATAGTTAATGAACCAATACTGATACATTATACTCAATTAAAGTCCATGTTTTATTCAGATTCCCTTAGTTTTTAACCTAATGCCCTATCTCTGTCCCAGGATTCCACCCAGGACACTATATTGTGTTTAGCTGTTAAGTCTGCTGAGGCTCCTCCGGGCTGTGACAGTTTCTCAGTTTCTCCTTGGTTTTGATGACCTGGTTGGTTTTGAGGTGCACGGGTCAGTTGTTTTCTAGAATGTCCCTTAATTGGGATTTGTTTGATAGTTTTCTTGTGACTAGGCGGGAGTGATGGGTTTTCAGGAGGAGGACCACAGAGCTAAGTACCATGTTCATCTCATCATTTCGAGGGTATGCACTGTCACCGTGACTTACCGCTGTCGATGCGAACCTTGGTCACCTGGCTGAGGTGGTGTTGGTCAGGTTTCTCTGCTGTGATCTTACTCTTTTCCCCTCTTTTCTTACTGTGCTCTTCGGGTGGAAGTCACTATGCACTATCCACGCCGAAGGAGTGGGGAGTTAACGCTCTCTCTTGTTGAGGATGGAGCGTCTACATAAATTATTTGAAATTCTGTACCAAAGATTTGTTTCTTCTTCTGAGTTAAGTTTTTATTTACGTATTTATGCATTCATTCATTCAATCAATCAAACATATATTTATGGGTTCATAGACATTTACTTTGTACTTGAGGTTAAAATCTCAAACTAACTAGTAGAGTAATCCAGTGCTAAGATTTTGTTGTTCATGCTGATCCAGCTTCAGACACAGGGAGCTCTTTCTGGGGTCTCCTCTGTTTCTTTGATGTACCCTTGCTGTGGTTTATTTGATTCATTTACTTTTGAGTACTTCTTAACTTTCTGACACTGTAAGATGCGTCTGGAGCATCCTTATCCCAGCCGCAGTCAGCCGTTTCTCCAAGCCGCCCTGGTTATGTTTACTGAAGAAGAGTGTTAGATGCCAAGATCTGAGTTCCTGGGCCCCAGGTGTGCTCATTGCTGCTGCAGTGTCACATCTCTGCTCTCTTAGCTGACAGAACACGGAATGTATGTGTGTGTACTAACACACACGTTTGTAAATTCTTCTTTATGTATCCATCTGCATCTCTTGTAAGCCAAATATGAGATCCTACTGGTGTCTCCTGCTCTCATCCATCACCATGTGGATCGTTAGAGCCTCTTCCCTTGCTTGTCTAAGATCTCCACTCCCACAATGAGAAACCTGGCCCCTGAGTCCGCCATCCATGCAGGTAAGTCTGTAACCATTGTGTGCATGTACATATGGTGGTATCAGACTGCTGACCCCTATCTCTGTGGGAAACGACTGTATCAGCTAGTGCACAGTGCTTGTGTTCAGGCCTTTGGCCTTTAGTCTTATAAGCTCCACTTGTTTCCAAAGCTGCTCAGGTCAGCACTTCTGTCATACAGTTAGTTTTGTCACCTTCTGGGAACTCCCAACCCCCTAAATGATTTTTTTAATTTACATGTATTAAAGTTCACTCTTTGTGCTGTAATGTTCTCTAACTTTCGGCAAATACATAAAGTCATATAGCCACTCTTACAGTGTCATACAGAATAGTTTCACCACTCTAAAAAAAATTCTCTGTGCTTCACTTTTCAACCACCCTCCCTCACCCACCTCAAGTCCCTGGGAACCACTGATCTGTTAACTGTCTCTACTGTGTTGCCTTTTCTAGAATGTCATATAAATGGAACCATACAGCATATAATCTTTTTGTACAGGCTTCTTTCACTCAGCAGTATTCACTTCAGTTTCATTTAAGATTCATCCATGTTTTCTTGTAGCTTGGTATGTCATTCCTTTGTATCAGTGAATAGTATTCCATTGTATAGATGGTTCATGATTTGTTTACCCATTCACCTGTTAAAGGACATCTTGATTGCTTCCAGTTTGTGCAATTTTGAATAAAGCTGATACAAACATTTGAGTGCAGCCTTTTGTGTTGCCATAAATTTTCAGATCACTTGGGTAAACACCTTGGAATGCTATTGCTGGATCATATGGTAAGATGTTTAACTTCAAAAACAATCGCCAAGCTGTCTTCCACAGTGGCTGCACCATTTTATTCCTACAGTGGTAGTGAGAGTTTCTGTTGCTTCCCATCCTTGCCAGCAGTTGGCATTCTCTTCTTTTTCCTGACATTCTCCTGTGTGTGTGGTAGTGTGCCCGTGTCGTGTTAATTTGTATTTCCCTAATGACGACTCTTGGTGAGAATCTTTTCACGTGGTTATTTTCCATCTTATTAGGTGAGGTATCAGTTAGGTCTTTATATATTTTTAATTGGATTGTTTCTTTTCCTGTTGTTCAGTTTTAGGAGTTATTTCATATTGGGTGCAAGTCCTTTGTTGGCTATGCATTTACACATCTTTTCTCTCAGGTTGTGGCTTGTGTTTTACTTCTCCTACCAGTGGCATTCGCTAGAGGAGAAGTCTTTTTTATTTTTTAAAGCCCAACTTCTCTATTTTTTCATGAATTATGCTTTTGGTGTTAAATCTAGAAATTCATCACCAAACCCAAGATCATATAGATCTTCTCCTGTATTTTCTTCTAGAAGTTTTATAGTTTTCCAGTTTCCATTTAGGCTGATCATTCATTTTGAGTTAATTTCTGTGTAAGGTATAAGGGCTCTGTCTGGGTTCGTTCTTTTGCATTTGGATATCTAATTGTTCCAGCACCATTTATAGAAAAAACTATCCTTTCTCCATTGAATGGAATCCATTGACTTGCTCCTTTTTCAAAAATCAGTTGACTGTATTTGTGTGGGTCTACATCTCAGTCCTGTATTCTATGCCATTGATCTATTTATCTACTTCTCCCCCCACCTTTTTTTAAACCACTGCCACACCGTCTAGTTACTGTAGCCTTATAGTAAGTCTTGAAATCTGGCGGTCTGGGCACTCCTACTTTGTTTTCTTCTTCAGTATTACAACTTTTAAAAAATATTTGGTAATATAAAATATTTCTTAAGAAGGAAATATGGTTTTCAGCCATTTTGCCTGAAACATGTACTTGGTATGGGTAATCCACTGCTGGCCAAGCACATAGTAGGCCCTCATTTGTGACTTGTTGACTGACTGGAAAGACAGTGTAGGGGACAGCTCCCTTGGCCGGTGCATGAGTCTAGCACATGGTCAGACATGGCCACCTCAGTGGGCCCTTGTGTCTCAGCACCTCTCATGAGGTGATCAACACCTGTGGTTCCCAGAAGAAAACGGATGCCTAGTGAAGATCATTAACATGAAGAGATGTGAAGAGGTTTGTGAAATGATGGTTCTTAACCCAAAAATAGAGATTTGAAGTAAACTGGAGCTGAGAATCGCATGAGAATGAGAGCACTGACTCCACAAAGCAGGAACAAGGAAAGCAGTTCATGAACTGGTTTCAGCAAAGCCTCCAGCCAGTGTAAAGACTCCTATGGGTCACTTTTATGCTCTGCTATTGTCTGGCAGTTTGGGTGCTGGCGAATCTTTCAGGAAGGATCCATCCTTCCCTTATGCATTTTGCTGATCTATCTTTGCAGAATATTCACCCCCACCTGCCTTCCTTTGCTCCCAGACATGCTTGAAGACGGTCTCCAGCACTTGTCTCCTTGCTGCAAGGCAGATACATACTTTGTGATGAATTTTCCAGCCAAAATGCAGGACCGGGGCGAGGAGACATATGCCCAGTATAGATTGGCAGCAGATGGAGCTCATCAGGATGCATCAGAACAGTTGTCCAAGCCCTTGTGAAGTGCTAGCCTGCTGTTAACACCATCCTTCCCGCCTCTTTGGATTACTGGGCGTGCCCACTTAGCTGGAAGCCAATCGGTACTGACGGCCCTGTTGCTCCAGGCTCAGAGCCCAGTCTCGGCGGGCACTGGGCAGCTGCTGGACAGAGGCAGGGCAGGGAGACAAGTGCACGAGGAACAACAGAAGCCCAAGTGCAAATCTAGCTATGCACGACAGCTCCACATTACCCTTCGCAGAAGCTTTCCTGGAAGGAAGCCTTGGCAGAGCCAAGCCAGCAGCTGGGTTTATGACTTTTCAAACCATCTGAACAATGAACGGGTTACTTGTCTGCAGCATTTGGTCCACTTGTGACCTGAGGATGCCTGGCATGGGAAGGAAACTGTTGTTCAGGTGACCAACCAGCTACCTGTCTACCTGTGAATGTGCAGCCTTGTCCTGAGTGCCTGTGAGACAGGAGCCGGTGTTCCCTTTGAGTGCTCTATTCTTCTGCTGGGTCTGCCCAATGCAATAGCCAGGAGTAGCTACCAGCAACAGAGGGTGGATAGCCTAAATCCTACTCAGGGCCTTGATGCCAGGACCATGCCTCCCTCTGGGCCATGGTTAGTAAATCCATGCCTGCTGATGGCTGAGGGGGCCTGGTGCAAGAGTGCCCTGGGTTTGTGCAGGATGAATGATGAGGATTTGTAATCTGAATTTGCATCTTCTGACTGAGGTCTTACACAAGGCAGTGTGCAGGGCGGAATGACATTGCAGAGAAGTACTAACTGAAATTCAAGCACCCAGCAGAGCACCAGCACAGACATGGACACTGAGGTCATCCAGGATCAAGGTTCGTAATTTCTTTTGCCTTCGCATGTCTCAGGTTTACCCTGGTCTGCCCAGGGCTCCTGCTGTGAGCAGAATATCCCTGTTGCAGAAGCATGGCGTGGCAGGCAGAAGAGCAGAGGGGTGGAAAGTCCTGCTTCTGGATTCAAGCAGATCTGTGTTCAGTTCAGAAACCTACCCTGTGGATGACTTTGGGCAAATACTTTAACTAGTTTAAGTTCATGTCTTCACTGGAGAGGTGGAGATACAGACAATGGTATCTCCTCATGGAATTGTGTGAAGGTTTACATGGAGTAATCAATGTAAAGCACTTGGAATGGGACCCGGTACATAACCCCCAGTAAATGCCATTATTTCCACCACTGTCATCATCATCAGCATCGTCAGCTACATTATAATTGGTAATAGGAAGGTCCATTGAACAGCAACCTTTCTGTTCTCTGTCATCAGTACCTTGCATTCAGTCAAAAATTATAAAACCCTTCTTGATTCCTGCTCCGTGTCGGAAGACAGGGACGTCCACACGGCTTTGGTTTCTGCTGTCATAGAACTTACACCTTCTAGGGGTAAAAATTCATACACTTATTAAATTTCAATCATAAGTGTAAAAATAAGCAATGCCCCACGTGGTTATTAATTGCAGGGAAAAGTATAGTAATGATATTCATCTGTTGACAAACAGCCATGACCCGCAAGGTCTTTCCGTGGTTCATTTCACTGTCAGTCTGTGTCACAAAAATACTGTTGCTCTGGAAAGTGAGGCATGGAGAAGTAAGTCAGAGCCGCTGCAAAGCTCCTGCCCGTTCTTTGGTCTTGGCGTTCAGGAGACACTCCCTTTCCCCTTTTCCACCTCCTGGGCCTCCCCCTCCTGTTCCGCTCCTCCTTCCTTCACCCCCAAGCACACGGCCATTTGAAACCTGGGCACTCCAACGATTTCTTCAGGAGAAGAAGCAAAGATGCAGATCATGTCTCTTGTGATCTCCGCCTCTGCCCGCACTTGCTTCGGGTGTTGTCATCTCCTCGCACCTTCCTGAACAGATGCAAGCATCCTGTATCCAGGGAAGTGCCGTGGGTGCCTCAGAGCTGCAGATTTCCCCTGAAACGGAGGAGTTTATTCCATGAGATCATTCACGAGTCCCAGAGTTTGGTGACCAGAAATCTGGATTTAGAATAGCAGCTTCAGCTGTCTGCCCCTCTCCAAGTCAAAAGGGGAGAGAGAGAATGAATTCCGTAGTTTTTCTTCCTTCAAACCACTCCTGAGGGATTCTGAGGAGTATTTCCTGTAGGAGGCCCACTGGAGAGCTGGCTCCACCCTCAGGCGAGCATCCGTCTCAGCTGGTACCTAATGCCTTGTTGTCAAAAGGCATTTTTCTATTCTGTGACACATCCAGCCTTGCCTTTTCCACAAACCTCCATTCATGTGATCATTAAAATATGTAAATCCAGCCCCTGGCAGCACTCCACAGTGAATGAGCCTGCACCTCTGGGTTACCGCTCCCTGCTCAGCTGTGCCTTGGCTTTAAAACATCGGTATAATTGACCAGGGTTTTGGAAACTTCATGTCTACATTTATTATTTCCAATGCACATTTATATCTCAGGAGACTTTTTGTAAGGTGGGGGGGACTTCTATGAGTTTAAGAGGCAGAGCCCACCCCTGAGACATCTGTCAATGAGACGGACAGTATATGCATAATGATCTTGCTACCCACTTGTCTTAGTTGGAGAGGACAATGAATGGTTAGATACTTTTTTAATACTAAACCACTTAGGTGTTGGGGATTATCTGTTGCAGTAGCGACTATTACCCTAACTCATACAGAAATTAATTCAAAAGATGTTGATTGAGCACCTGCTAGGAGACAGGAGTTGTGCGAAGGTCTGGGACCCCGCCTTAGCTCAGGACTGCTCTAACAAAATACCGCAGACTGGATGGCTTAAACAACAGACAGTTATTTCTCATAGCTCTGGAGGCTGGAAGTCCATGATCAAGGTGCCACCAGAATCTGCTCTTGGGGAGGGCCTTCTTCCTGGCCTGCAGACGACCACCTTCTCTCTGTACCCTCATGTCATGGTGGAAAGACATGGGGCTCCGGTCTCATCTTCTGGTAAGGACACTAATCCTATCATGGGGGCCCCCACCCTCATGACCTCATCTAAAGTTCATGAGCTCCCAAAAGCCCCACCTCCTAATACCATCACACTGAGGCTTCAACATATGAATCTGGGGGGACACAAACATTCAGTCCATAACAGACCCCAGGGACAGAGAATGGGGAGGAAAATTTGCTGTCATGGAACTGATTTCCTAGGGCAGCACCATCTGGCCAGTATGATGTGCAGGTGCTCTGCCCATACATAGGTTGTTCTCAGCAGGGCAAGGGCTCTGTTTTTATGCACCTTCATGTCCCTGCTGCCTAGTCCCATGGGTTTCCGTGTGTGGAACGTAATATGGGTTTGAAAATGTGTCCCTGGTGGCCTGGCATTGATCCTGGCTACTGAAGAGGTGTGACCTCCCGTCTTTCTTCCTAAATAGGAGAGAAAGAGGCCTTCCAAGGTAGTCCACTGTCTGAAAGATCAGCTTTATTTTTAACCATGTCATAGAAAAGGGAGCTTAAACCTCTAATTGCTCCCATCAGAGCCAGAGCACCTGCTGGTTCTCGCCGAAGCCTCCATTAGCATGTTGCATCTCTCCCTGGGCTGCCAGGCTGGTAATCTGAAAGGGAAATAACTTCTGCTTGGGCGGTGGAGGGGACTCATTGTTGCTGACTGCTCACCGTGTCTATCACTGTCTCACCTCTGCTTTTGAGGAGAGAAATCAATAGCGTTTTAAATGTCTTGCTAAGTAAGTGTTTATGAAGCAGGTTCCCTGGGGGCTTAGCCCGGGGCAGCGCTCAGGGCAGCAGCGGGCAGGCCTGGAGCAGGAAAAGCTGCTGAGGTGCAAGAGCTTCACTCCCACCCCGTTCTCATTCTCGCCCCGGCTCAGGAGTGGGCTGGGCTCTTTGAGCTGCGACATGAATCAGCCTGCTTGGGGATAAGGAGGAAAGGCAGTATTCATTCATTCACCCGTGAGCTCCATGGTATACCTTCTGAGCTTTGTGCTGACGCCCGGGCTCACCGCCTTTGTCCTCAAAGCGCTCCCTGCTGGAGGGAGGGAGGGAGGCACACCAGTCGTGATAGTTGTGGAACATGTGTCCTGCTTCCTGATAGACGGGAGGTGGAGAGACTGAGGGAGCCCAGAGGAGGACCCTGGGGAGCAGGGGACGGAGGGAGAGGGGATAGGCAGAGAGGGCTTCATGAATGGAAGAGGAGGAAGTCTCTGGCTTTCCTGCCATTTCTCCAGAATCCCCAAGTGTGGCAAAAGATATGGGTCAGGGCGTGACAAGCAGAGAGACCTGGGACTGTGTGATCAGCCGCTACTCAGGTTACCCGGTGGAGAAGGGTTAGGAAATGAAGTGATGTGGACCAAAGCGGGGCCCAGTGGATGTAGGTCCCAGCTTTCCCCCCACCCCTCTCCCCGCCCCTCTGTCTTCCTTTTTGCCAAGCTCTGTGTTCTCACCCTGAGCGGTCTTTTCTGGGCAGGCTCCACATCTGTCTGGTTCCCTGGGGAGCCAGCCCGGAGCAGCATCTGACACGCAGAGGGCATCCAAGCCGGAGAAAAGGCAGCCCTGCCCCTGCCCTGGTGACTGGACTTCCTCTCTGCATGTTCTCACCACCCTCGAAAGGCTTAGCTGAGGGAAACGGTGACTTGGGTGGTCACCCGGGCACCAAGGGTGAGGAGTTGCCAGCAGACCTAGGGCCCACCCTCACGCCCCAGCTTGGGTTGGGCACAGTCCCAGCAAGGCTTGGTTAGGACTCATTCATGTGACAAGGGCATACAGTGACTTCAGGACCATACCTTCCTCCCGTCAAGTCAAAGCGCTGGACAGCCATCCCGAGGGCATTGGTAAACAAGACAGTCAGTCATGCAGAGCAGTGACCAGAGGCTCCCCAGAGCAGAGGCCTTAGGTGAGCATTGTCTGTGGTCCTGGCCTTCACCCCCTCCCCTCCTACCTACATTCACCCTGCTGTGGTTTCGCCATCCTTCTCCCCATCTGTCCATTCCTTCTAGAAAATCAGGCACCTTGCAGACAGGTATTTGTGCCTTATAAAGAAGGCTCTGCTTGGAAGTGGCTTTCTGGACAGTGTGAAGATCCCGTGTCTTCGTCAGGGCTTCTCTGATTCAGGGCTGGGGAGCTTGGCCGGCAGGCAGCCGACGCTGGTCCTGATGCAGTGACGCTGCTGGCTGCTCCCACTCTCCCTGTCCTCCAGAGGGCGGAGACAGAAGAAGTTGCAGCACAGACACCTGCTGAAATAGCACTAATTTGGCCTGATTTAAATTCAGAGGCTAACATGTGTGGTCCTCTGCACGCCAGTGCCAGGGCCTGAGGAGTGGCTTATGGTCTCGCTCGTGGGGGAGGAGGCCGGATGTGGAAGGACTCGTAGTGGCCCGCTGCCTGCAGCTGCATCTGCCCTCCCACCCCGCCGAGGCTGTGCGAACCTGCTCCTGGACCCCTCTGGACCACTGGCACTTACCCTTTTGTGCTACCTGATTTTTGTCAAGCTTTGTCATCTGGAAAAGACAGCTGCCTGTTATCCGTGTCGTCCATGCCCATCGTCCATGCCAGCCCTGCCCTGGATGCCAGATCTGCAGTGCCCTTTCTCAGCTCTTGGTCTGTCATCACCACGTGGTTCCTCGAAGGACCGCAAGCTGCCTTAACTACGGCCTAACAGTTCGCTCCGGAGTCCCACTCACCTCCGTTTCATTTCTAGTTCTCTTAGACCGCAGCTTTAAGCTTGGATGCATCCTTTAACCTCTGAGCCAACCTCAGGTCTCTCAGCTGTGAAAGGGGCATGAGGAGGGCGATAATGCTCAGTCCACGGGAGTGGCCAAGACCGTGAGATACTGCCTGTGAAATACTTCACACGGGGCTGGAACCCAGGAAATGCTCAGTCAGGCCACCTGCTGTCGCCATGGTCTTCAGCAGCTGCCTGTAGAGGTTTACAGCCCACCATGGAGACCCTACCTCTTGGCTCATTTAGGGGTAGTGTAAGGAGTTACCGACACCATCTTTGTGAAGTGCTTACAGTGAGGTGGGCACCTGCTGGGTGCTCTGTAGGTGGGAGAGGCTCCCCCCGCGGTGCTTTGCAGAGAGGAGTCTGTGTCTGTCTCCCTCCCCACTGTCTCCCTGCTTCCTTGGAGGGGCCTGGCCCTTAGGAGCAGGTGCTGAGGCTGCAGAAAAACTCTGTTCTCGCAGGATCCTGAGAGCTTGGGGTTAGTATCTATCCTTCAAAAAGGTAGTCTACTGACTCTGGATGGCTCCGTGTGGGAGACTGCGAGTGTTTTTTAAGGGGGATGCTTTAAAGCAGAAACACTTTGAAATGGGACCCAAAGCACAGCCCACCTTGTTGTAATTATGCTATGTATAATTTACAAGGAAGAGTGTGCTCTTGTGATTCTGGGGGAAGTGTTTACAAGACAAAACTCTTCATTGCTGTACATATTAAAATTTTTTTAAAAATCTCTGGGAAGAATTAGAATTAAACATACACTCGGTAGCTGCTCGGTTCTCCCACTAGGGAGTACGTACATCTCGGCACGCGGCGTAATTACATTTGCCATTTGCAGAGGCACTTGGGTTATGTGAACTCTAAGAAATTCACCATGAGATCTGGTGCATTTTGGAAACTGGTACTGGTTAAGGGTAAGTCGAGCTATAGTGTAATGGAGAGAAGTCTACTCTTGAAGCGAGGGAGCTGAGTGTGAGGCCTGGCTCTGATGTGCAGTTAGTAGAAAGCATGGCTGAGTCTCTTCATCTCTTCCAAGTCTGGGCTCCCGTGGGCAGTACAAAGAGACTAAAGGAACCGGATGAGATCCCACGAGTGTCAAGGTTACTGTTGGTTTGATTCGTGAGACTTACATTCTTTTTACAATAAAATGATAAATTATATATATATATATATATATATATATATATATATATATATATATGTTATTGAACATGAAGAAGAGAAAGTACAGATCAAATACAGAAAAGGCAGATTTTTATTAACAAAACTTGAATGATGTTTTGTTGTGCATTGAAATCTGCTTTTTTCACTTTGAGATCTAGTGCAAACATTTCCCACATCAACTCTTTGAGAAATTGGTTTTTGACGGCTGCATAGCATTGTGTTATATGATGTATTTAAGCCATCTCTGGGTTCAAACTGTTTGCTCTGTTTTTTTTCCTATTCTAAATGAACATCTTTATAAATAAGTTTTGGTACACATCTTTGATAGGATAAATAGTTGTAATAAAAATACTAAGTCAAAGATACAGATAATTTTAGGCCTTTTGATCCGTATTGCCAATCTATCTGCCCCCAAATAACCAACTTACACCATGTCATACTAGCCAGTTGCTGACATCCTTTTCAGTCCTGAGTATTGCTTTAAAAGAGACAGTTTTTTTTTAATATGGGCTATTTGCTAGAACCCCCTAAAATCGATTCTTATTTTAGTTTGAATTTCTTTGCTCACTAGCAAGGTTGAATGCTTTTTCTTTTTTATTTGGCAGTCTGTAGTTCTTGTGTGAACTGCTGTTTGGCTCTTGGTAATTAGAGACCGCGTTAAACATCTTTGTTCCTGCCCTGAATTGCTGAGGCACAGTCATGACGGTTCATTAAGCTGTGTTGAGTCATCTTGGATCAGATCTTTAAACCGGTCATTTGTCCACCAATAAACGTGTGTGGAATAAATGCTCAGTGAGTCACAATGCGGTCGTTGGATGGCTGTAGGGCCAAGAGCTAACGGCCACCCTCCCCAGGAGTGGCAGGACATTACTTCATCTGCTCCTCCGCTCACCCACCACTCTGCCCCGCATCCTTTTCAAGTGTGCTGGGCTGTGCTTTAGGCTTTTAGTTCCTGCGCTCAAGAACTTTGGTCTGAAGGAGAGGAGTTCACGATACAGTGTTAATTTGGAAACCCTTCAGCACACCAGTCCATCTTAAGAGGATGCATTTGACCCATAGAAAGTACACATGTTTTCATGAACAGGCGGAAGCTTCTCAGCACACCTTATTTCGGAGGGTGTGTCCGCCTTCTTAAGTGCTTCCCGAGGAGCAAATTTAAGCACCAAAGAGATCAAATTCAGTTTGTAGAAAACAAAACCAAACCTTCTTGAGTGTCTTTTTTTTAGAAGCTAATAAATGTGGTTTCTTCTTGACCTCCACCTTGCCCCTTTGCGTGATCTCTGACCTGTCTGCCAAACTAAGCTTGGAAATCATTGCTGGAGTCAGGTGTGCAAGGCCCTTGGAGGCAGGCAGACACGGAGTCTCACCCCAGCTCTTGGGCCTGTGACTCATCTTCTCTGGGTCTCCATTTCCTAGCACATAAGGTCTGGAAATCAACCTTACCTCACCAGTGCTGTTGTAAGGATCAGTCAAGGTGCTGATTTCAAACATCTGGTACAGAGTAGATAATTAATAATTCTCAGTATCACTATTAGTAGTAAAGTCACATAAGTTTACCATGAAGGAAATCTCTGGTTGGTTATAACAAAAGATTGTGTAGTTGGCTTTGACTTCAACATTTGCCACTTTCTGGATCTGTTTGGACCTTAGTTTCGCAGATCTGAAACTTGATTTTGTCTTCTCACTGAGAATGGCTCAGTCTCTGAGGTATGAGGTAATATTAACCAAGTTTCCAAGAAACCATTGTATAAACCCAAAACAGGATAGCTTATCACGTCCAGCTGGTTGTCAGATAGGTGGGGACTGGAGTCCTCCCACGACAGGTCAGCCCTTCTCCCCTCCAGGAGAGCCTTGTGAGAGCCAGATTATAATTAGTGCCTGTCAGGTGAGCAGGGAATTGGAGCAAGGGAACTTAGTTGATGGGAAGAAGCCAATTTAACCACCCCCGCTCCAGCTAGGATACTGTGATGACCTGTTCTTCTTACAGGATTAGTCTTACACGACCATCCATGAACCGTGGATCCTTCAGGGACAGTTTCAATGGGCATTGCCCGTACTTGTCTCTCAAACTCTCATTTTCTTCTTGGTTCTACACTGACCATTTCCTTTTCTGATCGACACATCGCCTGTCTGGCTGTGTCACTGTCTTTAAACCAGCTATGAATTACCACTAAGTCTTTCATTCTAGAACTGAGTATCGGTAGGAGATTTTGCACATGTTCACTTGAACATCGATTCTGTCATTCACTTCTCTGAGGCCAGTTTCATTTCTAGAGAGCCCTTGAGTGGGTGAGCAGGTGAGAGGCACACACCTCGCTGTCCTCCCTACTCGTGACCCATCTGCAAATTTCCTACCTTCCTGGTGTGGGATATGACACCCACCCCCAGGGATGACATCCCCACCAACACACATAGCATCTTTTTTTTTTTTTTTTGACTGTGTCTCTTAAATCTTCTTTTCTTTTCTTTTCTTTTTTTTTTTTTTTTTTTTTTTTTTTTTTTACATAGCATCTCTTGATGTCCCAGAAAGCTGGGAGAAGTCTCAGGGCTTCCTCCTGCTCAAGGTGCCCCTGACTGTGTGAACACACTAAAAGCCTCCATGTGCTGGCTGTGTGAACATTCTCTGCTAGGTCCTGTTTTCTGTCGTTTAGAGCCAGCAAGTGGTGGTGGCAGGAATTACCTTTCCTCTGAGACATAGCGTTTTGCCTGGGGGGAGTCTGGCTGAGATGATTTTTCTCCTCTGTCTCACCTGGCCAGAGAGTCCGCGTCCTCTCACCGCAATTGCCACTCACTCAGCCCTGCCCTCAGTTCCTGGGAAGGCAGCTTGCTTCCCACGGAGGAGATTCACAGCTCTGGCGTGGTGACATCTCCTCCAACAAGTGGGACCTCTGATCTGCTACAGGCACCCTGACTTAAAGAAGGGAGCGGAGGAGGTGTGGGTGCCTTGAGGCAGAACATCCCCTCCCTCTCACCATCGCAATTCTGGGGAAGATGGATAAGTTGGCTTCCTACAATCTGAAAGAGTTTGAGGGTGGTACGTTCATTCTGGCCACAGACACCACTCTCCCTGTGGTCCATCCCATCACTCTGGCCAGTTCCTCACCCAGCAGGCTTTTCAGTGGGGGGCAGCCACGAGTTTCCCTTGAGGTTTAGTTCCCTGCCTGCTCCTGTGCAAGGAGAAAGAGGGGCACAGAGGGGTGGTGGGTACCAGGCCAGAGGGGAGGCCACTGCCAGATGGCTGACCAGCTAATCCAGCAGTAATAGGTTGATGGGAGAAGTGTCCCCATGCCTGGGCAGACCTACTCTGTTAAAACACCGTTTAGTGATTCCTCTGGTTAGTCTGGGACTGGGCTGCCCAATATGGTCACTACCACCACATTTGGCTACTAAAATGAATTTAAATTCAGAAAAACTGGAAGTTCGGTTGCTTGGTCACATTAGCCACATTTCAGGTGACCCACTTGGCCAGTGGCTGCCATGTTGGATCCTCTGGTGTAGAACCTTTCTATTGCCACGGAACGTTCTACTAGCACTGCTCTGGGGAGTGATCACTGGCTCTACAAAAGACTCCACCTTGGAGGTCCTTTAATGCTAGAATGTTTTTGTAAGCATTGGCTTTATATAAAACTGGCCTTAGAGCTTTTAACAACTACATTGTGTAAATTGGGACCTGTTTGTCTCTGAACGTGTTGCCTCTTTGACAAACACACATTCCCACTAATAAAATAATCAAGTTCAAAAGATAAAAAGAACTAGAGGAGAAAATGTCCAGACTGAGAAGCGGGGTACCAGAGCCCCATGCCTCTCATTAGAAATTCTTGCCACTGTCACCCTAGCCTGTACGTGATCCTTGCCCTCCAGGTATCTTGTCCCGAGTTCCAGATTCAGTCACCTGGGTTTGGAGTTCTTTATGAAATGTAACAATTATAAAAATAAGTAAGTTTAAGTTTTTAGAGCAAAGATTTTACTTATTCAGTAGGTATTTACTGAATGCCTACTGAGTACCAGGCAGAGCCCAGGCAGAGCCCAGATTCTCTGGCACCTAGCCCAGGGCGTGGCACATAGTAGGCATTTAGTAAACATTTATCAAGTGAGTGAATATATTATTCACCATAAAAAAGTCCACTAAGCCATTCAGTCTGCTTTTTCTCTTTTGCTCTCCATGAATCTTGAGGGTACTAGGCCCAGCTATTCAGACCAACAACTGGGAGGGAGATTCATCCTGTTCTAGGCATCGTGGGATTCTCAGGGCTCTGGAAGCTGGTTCCCTAGTTCCATATTTTAATGTAGTTGTGTTAGTCTGGGGTTCTCTAGAGAGAGAACCAATAGGATGTATTGAGTGTGTGTGGGTACAGAGATTGATTAATGGATGGCTTTTAAGGAATTGCAGTTGTAGGGGCTGGCAAGTCCAAAGTCTGCAGGGTAGACCAGCAGCCTGGAGTCCCAGGAAGAGTTGATACTGCAGCTTGAGTCCAAAGATAGTTTGCTGGCAGGATTCCTCTTCTTTTTTGGAGATGGTCAGTCTTTGTTAACAGATCTTCAACTAATTGGATGAGGCCCACCCACATTATGGAACATAATCTGCTGTACTCAGCATCTACTGAATTAAATGTTAATTCATCTAAACAAAATACCTGTACAGAAACATCTACTATAATGTTGACCATCTAGTATAATGTTTGGATGCTATGGCCTCGCCAAGCTAACACATAAAAGTAACCATCACAGTGGTCTTGTCTTCCCTCTGTTTGGAGGAGGTGGGATGCTGTTCCTGTCCTGGTCCCGACCACGCCCAGCGCGGATGTTCTTCCTTATGTGGCTCTTTGCCCAGGCCAGGCCTGTTCCCTCTGATGTCCGTCGTTGTGGCCAGATGACCTCAGGTGCCTAGAAGTACACCTCTTGCAGTTGTATTTCTCTGTGTGTCTTCTATAGAGCAATCATTTCACCATTCATCAAGCCAGCTTCCCACCTAGTTTTTATAGATTATTCCTTGAGCCCTATTTTCATTAGCCATGTAGTCCCAAGTCAGTCCCAAGTCCCACTTTTCTAGCTGTCTTGAGCAGTTTCTTCTCTCCTTCAGCTAGAGGGAAGTATCATGATCAGAGGGGAAGTATCATGAGTTTGGAGTCAGGCAGATGTGGACTGCAGCTTTGGTTCTACTGCTGGCCTGCTGTAACCTCTGTACACCTTAGCATTCTCATCTGTAAAATGGGATAACTGTTGTCTCATGGACCCTTCTGTAGCACTTTTTATTCAGTTGTGAAACTGCCTCTTGATCTGCTTGTTCTTTGAGGCCAGAAACTATGCATCACATAAATAGAAGAGCTGTCAGAATATAATAGATGCTCATGAAATATCTGGTGATTAAATGTTGAATGAATGAATGGAAAGGGGGTGATACAGGCAGAGCATCAGTTACTAGCAAATACTGTACATGTAGGTTTGTTTCCCACTACAGCTGGGCTTGTCTTTAGTCCTGTTTCCAAGCCTTATCTCACCTGTGCTGTCCCCAGTCTCACATCACCTGCATGGCAGAGATGATTGACAGATCATGACAGATCATGACATCATGGCTAGTGCATCTTTTTTCTCTTCCCTGCCTACCTTTCTGGTTCTCCTACTTTTCCTACAAGTTAGGAGGCACCCTTCCTAGGAATTGCTCTCTACTGGAATGGGAGATTAGTTTTTATGATTAAGGTGTCCAAGCTGAAGAGCAGCAGTGGGGTAGGTGGCGTAAGCAGGGCGTTTTCTCACGTGAGCTGCGCTGATGCCTTAAACATTTCTGTGGGTCAAGGGTTGGTGCTGTTTTCATTCCAAAGACCTGGTGAGGTTTCATTAATCACAGTGAAGTTCTAGAATCCCAGCTTTAAATCAATGTTGTATTTAACAAGAAGTGAGCAGTCAGTTGTAACTTTTTTCAGTAAACTGATGCAATTTAATGCTTATGGAATTTATGTCTGGCAGATCAGCAGCTGAACATAATTTTAATTACACCTGTCACCCTCGGCCGCTTTCCCTCATTCTGTGCTAACCTTCTCAGAGCTGCGGTAGTTATGCTGC